CAATATAACGTTATTATGAGTTATTATGAATTATTATGAATTATTATGAATTATTATGAATTATTATTAATTATTATTAATTACTTGGCATTTCACGTGATAAATAATCATTAGACCCCAGTGCTCCTTCATATTGAATTATTACCTCTACAGCATGTCTATTTTCTATTAAACTTGCGCCCAGTTACTTCGCCCATGTGGCTTCAGATGTTTGTTATCTACTAACAGTATGAATGTTATGAAATAACGAACGTGGTAATACAGAACTCATTTTGTTGTTCATAAAGTTATCACATGGCACAATCCCTGAAATTGGATCTTCCACATATCTTTCCCAAAAATAGTATCATTAAACATTGATTGACGTTATCGTTATGGCTAGTGAAGGTATATATAGAATCTGTGCCAAATTCTAAGCAACACCAAAATTTAGTTAATTTAGCTTGATGAAATGTATGCTAATTCTGTGTGAAATATTTGTGCATGATTTACTTCACTTTATTTTTTACTAATTGTAATAATATGTTTGTACACAATATATAATCAAAAGAAGACATAATGAAGTTAGAAAATTAGTGATGGAATTGTTAATAGCTTATACGAACTATATTTGTAGAATTTTTTTTAGTTTTTATGAGGTAATATACGGTTTCATTAATAGAATTTTGATTCTATGAATAGAATTTGGGGCGTTTTTTTAAATTTTTTTTTTGTTAATATTATGTCACGGAATTTAAATTTTATACTTATCAAATTTCTATCTCAATATCATTTTATACAAAGCATTTCGCTTAACTACTTTATTAGGCTTCTATTTATACGATTGTTCATTCACTTATTAATATATTTGTACTACGTAATCCTCATTCTTGCACCGCCAGACTACATATATTATTAAGATATAATTATATTTCATGTAATAACGCCCATCTGCGTGCTCTTTTGAATACATGCGCAGTATTTTGAGTACGTGCATGTACATTAATTTTAAAAAAAGGTAATTGTCAAACTTTAAAAGCGCATCGGACGATCAGACGAATATTCCCCTTTATATATTAGTGTCATTTTTCAATCCATATATGCTATTTTTAGGAATAAGATTTTTAGATAAACGTCCATGTCCTTTATTTTAAAATAATACGTAGTGTACCTTCAAGTTACTTGGTACTTATGTACTCATGTCATTTAATTCTTATACCGTCGTGGTCCTTTATAATTTTCTATTTATGGTCGTGTAACGTATCATCTTTGCATGCGGTGTGATTACTTTTTCTAATTTAAGAACGTTGTGACGCTTCATGCAGAGATCGACAAGAAAAATTCCTTCCTAAATTAAATCCTTAAAAAGAAAACGTCAAAGTTAGAGTTACTTTTTTGATGCAGTTATGGTTAATAGTGATGTGCAAATTCCAATTTTTTCGCATTTGCGCATGGGAATTTTCGGAATCTTTATGAGTTTTCGGAACCTATTGAAAATTTCCGGCTCATATTATCTACCAACGTTATATTGCTTCGCCGGCAATATAAAAATCATGCGTATTGCCCATCCCTAATGGTTAACGGGTTATATAGGTATCAAGAATTCACCTTATGCAGTATGTAGATCATTATATGAATGTATCTGTCCCTTAAAAGGAAATTTTTACTCCCGTCATTTTTATATATTGTTGCGCGACAAATCGGCGAGTCTGTCGCTAATTCTTTCCAATCCTCGTGTAACCTAAGGCGGCTAAGTCGAAATAGGCGTGTTAGATTTGTTAGTGGTTTATCCGTAGGTAAGCACTCGTCCCTTCTCTTTGTGTCTTTTCCTTCAACCTATTCTTCTATTAACCCTTGCCTTCTCTTATCCTCTCTTTACTTCTTTAACCTGGGGTTACGAAACGTCGAATCGGGTTGGAGTCCTTCTTTTGCGTTAACGGCTTGGTCACGTGACTTGCGGCGAACGAACAAAATGCGGTTTTAATGGATTACAAATGGGCGAACGATAGTTGATTACGATAGTTTTTAACGATAGTTTTGGGTTGGGTTACAGTTTACTTTTATATGGGTCCGATACTTTAAGTTTATTTAAGCAATTATATTTACTTGGGGGTATCGCGGTTATTTCCCCCCCCCCCTGGGCGGAAAGCCCTTTATTTATAATAAAGCGTTTATTTACATTCGCGGATAATTTCCTCTGCATTATCTATTTACACTATATTAGCCTTAAAATCCTTTCCCCACTATAATACCGAAAAACCGAATGTCCCTTATACCGTCGATCTACTCGAAGTAATAAAAGTAATAAATGTAATGAAAGTAATAAAAGTAAGAAAAGTAAGATAAATCTTACTTTTCATGTGACCCATTACTCGGATAGGCGTTTGGACCTAAATTCGACAATCGATCACGTGCCACGTATGACCGTGATAACGGTGGTACCGATTTCGGGGCTCACATTCCTTCCTCGTTTGGCGTCGAGTTCCACAAGACGCCGTCTAATAATCGGCAGAAGTCAGGGCCGTCAACTTTCTTATGTCCCCAAAGGTCAAATTCTCTGTCTGATAGATTTGTTCCAGGCCATACTTAAGGAAAATATCGTAGACCTGGACAGAAGTGGTAAGGTAATGTTGGGTAACCATTTCTCGAAACTGGCGTTTATTTAATTGAGTTCTGCTCGTATATAGCATGCTCAAATAATAGGCATATAGCAGGGTATCATGGTTATTATGGAGTCTAAGAGCCCTACTCAGATGGGTTTGCATTATAGTCATACAAGCAGCAAAATTATCAGTTACTTCAAAGGGCAGGATATAATGGTAATGTCAAACAGATATGGTCTATTAAGATCTTCCATTATTTTGTTCCATGTCATCGCATTGTTACAGCTTTTTGAATAAAAGCACTCTTTCAGTGGTTTAACTCTTTTTATCTTCTTTTCTCCTTATTTATTTATATATAGCATCACTATATTGGTTTTTTTTTTTTTTTTAAGTTTTTCTTACCCATTCTCCTCGTCATTTCTTTTTGTATACTTCATTATACCTATTCCTATTATACTGTTTTTCCTTTCTCTGTCTTTTATTTCCCATGTCATGTATCTTTTTTTTTTCACTAGTTACAGGTTTTGAGATTAATTGACATACGCTTTAAGCAACTTGACTTTAATGGAGGTGGATAACACTTTGCTATCAATGGATCATAATTTGTATACATTTTGGAATAAAATCTCATGAATATAGAATAATACCTTCCACTTAGAGGTTAATTTTATGCTTCAATTATATTTCTTCAATATCTTATATAACTATACTTTATCACCTATTAACAGTTCTGATATGAATTAAATTCTTTTATTGTATAATTTCTTTTGTTTCCATTGTGTCTGTTGGATTTGCACAACAGTACCATGTCGAATTATCAGTAAGGTTTTTAGTAGTTGAACCGTTCTTTGTATTATCATTCCTTCTAACAGTTTCATCCCACTATAGTTGATCAGTTGTTAAACCTCTCATTCATACATTAAGTAAAATGGTATAATTTTTGTAGTTGAATGTTTAGCAGTATGGTAAACAAAAAGCATTGCCAGAATAATTAGGTCCCAGTTCTCAATTTTATTGATTGAATGGGTGATGGATTTACAGAGTGTTTTGTTAAAACGTTCAACTAGACTATTTATTTGAAGATGATAAGGGATTGACAGTAGATGTTTAATTCTCAATTTCCCTAGCAACTCATTCACTAGTTGATTATAAAAGTGGGTCCCTTGATCAGATAATAATTTTTTAGGACACCTATGGTAGCATATGATTTCATTAAAGATGAAATTAGATACAGTTTTCACATCAGCAGACTTAATTGCTTTCATCTTAGGCCACTTTATCACATAATCAGTAGCTACGACAATGTATCTTTTTGAGTAAGATATGATCTGGAGAGGTCCCACAATGTCAATTCTAATCTGGTAGAATGGGACAATTATAGCAATCAGATGTAACAGGTTACTAAATTTATTTCTCTCTTATTTTTGATATTGCATATAGGACTTCACATATTGCATATGTGTTTAAATGCCTAAGATAGTACTAGGTCTTGTACAACTTCTTAAACATTGTATTAGTCCTAAGGTAGCCTCCCAAAGGGTGATCATGTAGTAGCAACTAGTTCAGGTAGATTTCAAGTTTCTGGACTATTCTTAATAGTTATTTCAGTTGGTGTTTATTTTTCTTATAGATTACCCCATCTATTAATAGGAATGTCTTGCTATTATTAACTAAACATCTTCTTTCTTTCTTATCGAGGTTTTGCAGAATGGTCTAGTCTTGTAAGTATTTTCTTAACTGATCATATTGAGTGAGTTCCATTTTAAACTATGCCAAGATACCAACAATCTGAACTAAATTAGGCTTATCATCAGATTTAAATATTCTTTTCTTTTTCATTCATTTTTCTAGCCATTCTTCTTCTTTTTGAACTTATCCTGCTAATTTTAGTATCAATTCAATTTGAGCCTCACAACCTGTTCCAATACATCCTAAACTTCTTTAAATTCATTAGATTTGCAACACATAAGTTATAGATTTTATTTATAAGGTGATGTTTTCTTTTTCTTTAGCCTCAAGGTCTTTTACTTTCTAAAAATTGTTATATAAACTTTTTCAATAATCAATAATCTGTATCGATGATTTATAACAGTTTCCTGCAGAATTTCAATGTCATTGCTTTAACTGGCTGTATTCCACTAGGGATATCCTGATATGGTTCTATATTATATTATCTTAACTAATTTTATATTCTATTTTTATATCTATTCTTAACTAACTAAAAATTATTTTTTTTTATTGTTATTATTGTTCTTTCATTATGTCATTTTTAGTCTTCTAGGTGACTCTATTTATCTATTGACTATGGTCAATGACTTATTTTAATGATCATTGTTTTATAGCTACAGATGTCTGTAGGAATGTCTATGAGAATGTCCTTAAAACAGCATCATGCAAAGATCCCATTGATTTCTTTAATCACATGTCATTTGGTTCTTTCTCTAGCACAGTTTCATCTTCTTTCACAAAACATAGGACTTCGTCTTGCTTATCATCAGGGAGAGCTTAGTCTCTATCAAATGTTTCCAAAACTATTGATTCTAGAATCATTGAATATCTTACTTTCTTTTTATAGGGTTCAGCAATATATTTCTCATTATTGTATAGGTCAAGTGGCTCTTTGCCTAGAATGGCAATTGTGGTAGGTTCCTCTTTGTTCAATTCATAATCAATTTTCAGTTCATTATCAATTTCAAATTCATCATAGGTAGTAACTAAAAATGTCTCAACTTCTTTCTCCTTGTATCATTCATTCTTTGTTATGTTTTTATCTGCAGTGGCAGTTAAGAATTATTCTTCTATCTTAATTTTGAAATAGTCATTTATTATATATTTTTTTCTTCAATCTATCAACTTTGCTTTTTGTTTCTTTAAGGCAATCGTAGTCTTTTGTTAAGACAGTTCACCTCTTCAGGGTTGACAAGAATATTTTCAAGCAAGTACATATACTCTCTCATTTTTATTCCATATTCTTTTTTCTTAGTTAGGTTTTACCAAGCTTCCCTAGCCCCAAGACAGTAGTTATGCGAGTACCCAAAGTCATACATTTTATCTCCAGATTCTTCTTCGTAATTATTCCAATTTCTGCCTACTTGTTCTTTAGCCAATATCATATAGATTTCTTTCTCTATTTTGAATTCTTCATTCTAATCATTCAGTGATAGCTTTTCAATAAGTGTCTTATTATTTTTCTTTAACTTATCCATTTCAAAGCTACCTTTTTTCTTTTCTTCTTCTTTTTTTTCAGTTTCTTTTGACATGCTAGGTTCAAGATCTTGGTTTCAGGTTGGATCCTCTTGGTTGAATTCAACTTTTCTTAATAGTGCATCAACATTAGAGTGTATCCTACCTGCTCAGTATTCGATTGTATAGTTGTAGAGTTGCAGACATAAAATCTACCAGGCTCTTCTATCCTTCAATTTTGAAGTTTGCAGCTATTTCAAAGCTAAATAGACTGTTACCATCACAAACACCTAAATCCAAAATAGTGATGAAAGTATTCTATGGTCAAGAGTACTGCAAGACATTCTGATTCAATTGCTGAATAGTTTTGTTTGATCTTGGAGAGGCTTTGGCTTGTGTAAGAAACAACATGTTTTTTGTTTTTCTCAGCTTTTTGTGCTAACACAGCACCAATTCCAGTTCTGGAAGCATTGCTATGAAGGTAGAAGGTCTTGTCAAAGTCGGGATACTTAAGTATGGGCACTGAAATTAAGTGTTCTTTTAATTTTTTGAATGCATCCTGTTGTTGATTTCACCACTTGTAACTAATATCTTTCTGTAGCAGATAGTATAGGGGTTTAGCAATATGGCAAATTCTGGAATGAATTGTAGGTAGTATAATACTAAGCTGATAAAGCCTCTTAACTGTTAAAGGGTTTGAGGTATGAGAAAATGCTTAATTTTCTCCACTTTCACTTCATCTGACCTAATTCTGTTACGGCCAACTATGTGTCCTAAAAAGTGAATATTCTGTTTGAAGAAGTTATACTTGTTAATATTCATATTCAATTCAACCTTATCCAGTTTTTTGAATACTTCTTTTAGATGACCAAATGCTTATTGAATGTTCTTGAATACATGTTGATGTTATTGAGATAGACGATGATGAATTTTCTTATACACTCTTTTAACTTCTTGTCTATGTGATGCTAGAATGTCACTAGAGTGTTATATAGACTGAACAACATTATATTGAATTCCAAGAGGCCACTTCAGATAATAAATGCCATATTTTCCTGATCTTTTTTATTTATTCTAACCTGCCAATATCTATTCTTTAGATACAAGCTCAAAAACCAGTTGGTGGTTCTAAAGGTTTCTAGTAGATCATCAATCTGAGGCAATAGATAAGTGTCTTTCTTTGTTAGAGCATTTAGTTTGCAGTAGTCTATGCATAATCATAAGTTTCTGCCTTTTTTTGATATGACTACTACTGGGGATGCCTACAGGCTATTGGATCTTTGAATAAGTTCTCATTTCTCTATTTCTTCTAATTTTTTTCTACAAACTCTTGTTTATTCAGGGTGATTAGGTAAGCATATTGCTTAATCAGTCTAGCATTGGCATATCAATTCAGTAGGTAATTACATTTGTTTTTCCTAGTTTCTGTATGTTTTTAGCAAAAAGCAGTTCTTTTTTCCTAAAAAATTCAAACACTTTTCTCTTTTCTTTTTCATCGAGGGCATCAGTCTGCATAAATTTTTTCAGTTGTTCGATTACAATTGATTCATCTTGCACCTTAGTAAAAAGTTTGACAATATTTGTCAGATAAATGACAGAGATAGTTTCATCTTTACACAGGTTAGTGTAAAGTTCATCTTTCTTGTCTGATACTTCTTTTGTGTAATACCCCTCTGCCTTGTTCAACTCCTCATTCTTGTAGATAAGTCCATCAAACATATCTTCACTATCATTATCCCAAGGGTCTTTCTCTTCTAGCTTTTCTAATCTTATTTCTCTATTATTTGATATAGGAACTTCAACAGTCTTTTTTTTGTATTTCAAGAATAACTGCTACTCATCGAAGTGGATTCTCACTTGGGTCTTCTGAAACCAGTCCATTCCCAAAAGTAGAATTTCATCAGCTAATTTAATTACCTGGAAAGTGCTAGGTAAGACAGTATCTCAGATTGCTAATTTAAGCTCATTAACTTGTTCTAACACTTTTGTTCTTGTGCCAGTTGCTGTAACTACTATCATGATCAAGAGTTGATTAATCCTTATGCAAAACTTGTTCAAGAGTTTCTTGTTTATTATGCTTACAGCAGCACCAGAGTCTAATATGACCTTGACAGAATTCTCTTTTATTCAAATAAAACAGTATTCTGCAATTATTCATTAGGTTCCTCCAAAATTTAATACCCTAGCTTCTTAAGTAGTAATGGGCCTTCAAAAGTCTTGGGCCAAATTTTATCATTGGTTTGAATATTCAAGTATTTGCCTATAGGTAATGTGGGCAGATGAGTTCAATAGATCCTCAGCAATATTATATAGGGCCAGTATGTCAACTACAGAAGGTCTTTGTCTTTTACAAGATTTTTGAATTGGTCAAAATTCATCTTCTTCCATTAGGACTAGGATGTTTTCTAAGTCTACTAAGGGTAGTTTCTCCTTTTGTAGTTGGCTTAGTCAGTTTTCCAACTTCAAATCTGCTTGTAGTCTTGGCCTTTTATTAGGTTCATTAGCTTGAAATTGGGGCTTTCTTTTCTCAAGATTATATAGTTTATCTTCTCTTTGAACTATATAATTCACTCTTCTAATTTGGAGCAGTCTTCTTATTTCTTCATTTGGTCAGGATGGTCATCTTTCAGATGAACAATACCTAGTGATATGTTCTATTTCTTCACATCTATAGTATATGATTTCTCTCTTCAGTTCCTAGTAGTTATCACAGTGTCTCTCTGGTTCAGATATTTTTTTTTTCTTCTTATCATTTAGTGCGATGTAGTTCACTAATAGTTGTTGCACTTGTTTGACTAAGGCTTCGATTAATTTGTCCTTTTTATCAGTCGACTGTGCAGTCTTGGATGTATAGGTGTCATAATAATCTCTATACTTTTTTGATGGCTATGATGGCTTCGTTTAGATCTTGCAGTGATGTTAAGGCTATAAATGTGGCTGTTTTTCCTTTTAGCCCTCCAAGGAATATTTGCACAGTATACGATTCAGGTAACGGGTCTACTTGACTTAGCAACTTCTTGAATTTCATCACATAGGCATCAACTTTCTTGTTTTTGCTTTGTGCTAAGATGTTAAGTTCTAAATGCCATTTGTGCTGCTTTTCTGGAGTAGTAAAGAATGTTACAAATAGAGAGTAAAAACTGTTTTTTGCTGCCCTGACTCTTTTCCAATAGACTATTTCATCTTAGTTGTTTTTGTACCATTCGGTAGCTATATCTTATAGGTGACCAGAAGTGATTTGTATCTTTCATTAGTCATTCCAATTATTTGCTTCTGCAGCTCGTTCGAAGTCTTCAAGCTATTCGATTGGATCATTGTCATCGTTACTACTGAAGGTCCTTACTTTTACAAGATTAGTTTTCTTAGAATTTGGTCTATTCTCATCAGTAATACTTCTAGTGGCATCTTTAAATGACTGTGCCATGATGTCGATTAGTTTTTTAAGTTGGGTATTATTCATAGCTTCTGTCTTGTCTTTTCCAAAAATTAAGTCCAGAGTTGTCTTCTTTTATGAATCTAACCTATCTTATTATAATTTTTGGAGGGGTTTAATAAGTCTCCTGCTTTCTTATTAGCCTTAAATTGATTTTTTAAAGTTTTTAAATTAGGAGAGAGGAAGAGGGTGGCAAGCATTTTACTAATTTTCAAATCTTACAGTCACCACTAAATGTTATACAATAAATTGGTGAGTCTGTCACTAATTCTTTCTAATCTTAGTGTAACCTATGGCAGCTAAGCCAAAATAGGCATGTTAGATTTAACTAGTAGTTTATCCATAAGTAAGTACTTATTCCTTCTTTTTGTGGCTTTTCCTTCAACCTATTCTTTTATTAACCCTTGTCTTCTCTTATTCTCTCTTTATTTCTTTAACCTTGAGTTACAAAACATCGAATCAGGTTAAAGTCCTTCTCTTACATTAATGACTTGGTCACGTGACTTGAGGTGAATGAACAAAATGCAGTTTTAATAGATTACAAATAGGTGAACGATAGTTAATTATAATAGTTTTTAATAATAGTTTTGGGTTAAATTACAGTTTACTTTTATATAGGTTTGATACTTTAAGTTTATTTAAGCAATTATATTTACTTGGAGGTATCACAGTTATTTTTTTCTTTCCTGAGTGAAAGCATTTTATTTATAATAAAGTATTTATTTACATTCAAGAATAATTTTTTTTGATTATCTATTTACACTATATTAGTCTTAAAACTTCTTTTCATACTATGATACCAAAAAACTGAATGTCTCTTATACTGTTGATTTACTCTAAATAATAAAAGTAATAAATGTAATAAAAGTAATAAAAGTAAGAAAAGTAAGATAAATCTTAATTTTCATATAACCAATTACTTGAATAGGTGTCAGGACCTAAATTTGACAATTGATCATGTACTACATATAACTGTGATAATGGTTGTACTAATTTTGAAGCTCACAATATACATGATACATGTAGATATAGATGAAAAAAATTCAAATTCTAACTACTTAAAACAACTTAAATCCTAATAAATGACCTTACATAGCAAATGTCACATTAAGGTAATTATCATGAGGATCACAACTCCTGGATCACATGGAATTTGTGTAAGCATATAATTAACTCTAGTGGTTGCTGATTTGGATTTTGATTTATTATTTTGGCTCTTTGTTATCCAATTTGTATCTGGTTTTTAGTTGTCTTTCACCCACTTATCTTCAAAAAACAAACCAAAAAAAGAAAAAAATTAGGGGTAAAAGAGTACTCAGATAATCTGCAGCTATTTGTTGATTGTGAAAGTTGGCTTAATAATCATAAGTACAGTAGTTGTTCAAAGGTTATTTTATACTTTAGCATATAACTACAGTATATCTATCATATACTTAGTCCTTGTTTTTTCTTCTATTACTTACCAATTTATGATGTTTATGCTACATGTGAGTTTGTTCACAGACTTAGTAATATTCACAATGACAGATGTATTTTTAACTATGATTACATTAGAAAAATGAAAGATTAAAAACATTTATAAAAAATTAAATAAAATACAAAGAAATATAAACTGGTATTAAAATAATACAAACTCAAAATAAATTTTTTTGGACTATAAAACTGAAAAAGTAGAAGTTTTTTTAACAAGATAATGTAGAAAGATAACACAAATCTTTTAACATTACTACTGTAAAATTTAGTTTCAGAAAACAATCATTAGAGTAAAAGAAGCTATATAAAACATAGTTTATAAAAACAACCAATTCTACTAGTCAGACTGCTAGAATTTGAATAAAAGAAAAAATATATAATAAATATTTTTTTAAACTATTAATTAGAAGTTTGAAGACATTATACATGACAGTATTAAAGTACTAAGAATATGTTATAAAGTTAATATTAAGATTTATAGTAAATTTTATAAAAACAAAAGTAAGTAACAATAGCAATTTAAGAATAAAAACATTAATTGCAAATAACTAACTAAAGCATAGATTATTTATAAAATAGAATATAGATTAGTTTTAGCTAAGTTTACCTCCAAAAGCAAAATAACTTTAAGTTAACAGATGAATAGTACAAAAGTAAATATAATATTCAAAAAAGAATTATTATATATTATGAAAATTATTAAATATATAAAAAATAAAATATAAAATATATATATTAAAAGAAAACATTAATAAAAAAAACTATTTGTTTAATAATAAAAATATTGTTAAATTATTTTATTTTTTTACTTGCTTAAAAATTATATATAATTATTATTATTAGTCTTAAAATTATATACAAATAATCTATTTTGTATAATAAGTCAATCTAAAAAATATTTAGCAAACTCTAAATCGATATCTATTTTGTTTATATCCAAACTAAATTGATTTAAAATTCTTTAAAAATCTCTCTTAATTGTAATACCAAATAAGTACAAATATAGATAAATAAATAATAAATTTATTCAAATTAGATGCTAGATTATAATGTTAATGTCAATTATAATATAATGCATGATACACTAGTGTTGACCTATAATGCATAATACACTAGTGTTGACCTATAATGCATAATACACTAGTGTTGACCTATAGCTTTAAATAACTTATATGACCTTTATGACCTGCTATAGATCATTTAATCATAACAAAGATTGATATGATTTATAACTTTTTTTTTAAATATACGTAGTAAGAATCATAATAAATTTTTTTCATTAGCATTTAATATAACCAGAAATTATATGACCAAATTTATGTAGAAAAAAAAATAACATAAGTCATTAGCTAACACTGTAATACACTACATAGCATTAGAGTTGCAAGTAAAACTGAAGAAAATTTAGTGAACGTTAATTAAGGTTCTTGTGTAAACTCTCGGAAACCTGTGATTCGGTCTCTTCACAATCCAAAATCTCAAGTAACCAACAATAGGTAACCTTACAAAAGAGAGGGTGTTAGATTTGGCTAGTGGGTGATTAAAGCTTTGGTTACTTGGGTCAGCGAAGTCAGATAGTCATGTGATCAAAACTTAACGAACAATGATTCTTATGGGGTTTGTAAGGTTTATACTTGTAATAATGTTAGTGTAATATTATGGACGGTATAAAAGATTGGGACTTGTTATTTTTTAAAGCAAACAAGACATAATCCTCTTAGGAACCATTTCGGCCTTATTTATATTACTCAATTTCATCCCTTACAAATGCGACATTATATTGAATATTTAATAAAACTCTATAAAACTATTTTCGTTTATTTTTTTAATTTTAATTATATCCTCCCCTTATCCTCCCATATACCATTCTACATCCGAAATTTTGTCCCCTATATAAAATGTAATGAATTTCGCTTCATTCATTTCGTGCATTTTTCACATGATAAGGTCACATTTTGGGACTCACACTTGGTATGATGATCTTTGGCATATCAT